TGATCGTCATATGAGCTCAAGTGATTTGGATTTTTATAAAATAAAATAAAATTTAAACACTACCGGACATCCATGATCATCAGATCGGCCCAGATTCAATCTGGGCCGTTGGGCTCATATGTTCATATGAGCTAGTGGGCTAACCCCAGCTTTTTCCATATGTATATCTGTGTGTGTGTAAGGTGGCATCAAATTAGAAGTATAAAACAACCTTGTAAAATTTTCATACTGCAAGTAAATTTGTTCGTACAATATATGGGTATCCATGTATATACGCAGATTGATAAATATATATATTAAAATTTAGAAAAAATTACAAAAAACCCCTCAAAATTTACTAGTTACGAACTTACCCCCAGCCAACCTTTCCTCTCACTTTTTTCCCCACAACAACTTTTTCTCGCAAATACCCCCTAAGATAAAAAGTTGATTTTTTTTTATGGAAATGCCTTTTCCATAAAAAAAAATTCAACTAGCGGTCCCAAGTTGCGTATTGCCAGAGCGTAGAATAACACTGCCAGAGCGCTTTGTAATGATTGCCGGATCGGAATAGGTACTACCGAAGCGTTGTGGCTTCAGAAGGTGTACCGCCAGAGCGCCTTCATCTACCGTCGGAGCTCTGAAAACTCTGCCGGAGCGCCCTAATGCACTGTTGGAGCATTGTGGCTCTAGCGACCCTACTGCCAGAGTGCATTCATAGCGTACCGGAGTGAAATGTCTCCAAAACGTGTACGGCGGGAGCGATATCACATAATGCTGGAGCAAATTCGTCTACTTCCGGAGCGAACTACCACAATGCCGAAGCGTTGTGGCTCTAGAAGGTGTACTGCTGGAACAAATGTCTGTATTGTCGATGCGTGTTTTTGTACCACCAGAGAGATGTAATCAACCGCTGGAGTGCCCTGGCTCCAGAAGGTCTACTGCCGGAGCAAGTTTTCGTATTGCCGGAGCGCGTTGTCTTCGTTGCTGACGAGATAAAGAGAAAAGGTGTGTGAAAAAAGGGTATTTTTATTTTAGTTCATTTTGGGTTGGGGGGTTTTTTGCGAAAATAAGTTGTTAATGGGAAAAAGGTCAGAGAATAAATTTAGATGCGGGGTTTTTGTAAGTTGAATAGATAGGGTACATTGGAGGGATTTTTGTAATTTTCCCTAAAATTTATGGACATGCCACATCGGCATTTGCATATTCCAAACTTCATACATTATGGAAATAGTAGTATCGTGTATATATGGGTATCCATGTATATATATATATACATATATATACATATACATATATATATATATAGAATAAAACCATTTATTTTTGGTACAAGGTGATCACATTAATTTTGACCATTGGATTTGAAACTGGGTGGCTGCAATTATTCCATTGACCAAGCTCAAACTTCAAAATAATTTTTTTCAAACTTTGTGATACATCCAAGCTATCAAATTTCACATCGGATGGTTGTAACTAAATGTGACCACCTTGTATCAGAGGTAAATGGTCTCAATGTAGGGTGCTGTTTGCATACAGATGCGTCCGTAGGTGTAGAGGTAAGGTGCACCTTCAAACTTTATCATGGTATATAAATTTGATGTAAAATGTTCTTAGGATTATCTCAAAATCTATTTTAATATCTAATTATAAAATTTTAAATTTCAAAAATGGTTAAAATAAAGTAGATCTATAAACATATGAAAATCTTGAAAATGGACGGTGTAGATAATATGTTGTAAAATGCTCTATTTCTGAGACTTAAAATCGTTTTATTTTTTATAGTCATACATCTCGATGTAGAGATGATCAATCAAAGGGTTTTCAACATTAAAACTACCTTTTCCAATGCATTTTTGAGGGGCATCCGTAGTTCTACCTTATAAGGTATCATCCTTATATAAACTTTTCCCTCATTGTATACGATCCAAATAAATATATGGTGTGGTTTGTATAGAGCCGAGGCTCTAAACAATCAAAGTAGAGCGGTTTCAATATTGGAACTTTTTGTAATAGCCTTAAAATATATTTTCATCTTTAATTATAAAATTCAAAGCTTCAAAAATATTGTAGATCAAGCAGATCTATGAAAACTTGAAAATCTTGAAAATTTATAATCCTAAAATGCATTACTAGATGCACTATTTCTAAAACTTGAAATCCATTTTTTCTCATGTTCATGTATCTTGATGTCGAGATGATCAATTTGAAGCTATTTGGGCGTCAAAATAACTTCTTCATGTGAAATTTTTAAGGCGCGCTCTAATTTGATTGTTTAAGGCCTCGGCTCTATATAAACTTTGTCCTAAAATATATGTGCAGTGGCATCTGCATTTAGGAAAAAGTTTATATAAAATCGAGGCTCTACATAATCAAATTAGAGCACACCTCAAAAATTTCACTAGAAAATGTTATTTTGATGCCCAAATGTCTTCAAATGGATCATCTCAACATCAAGATGCATAGATATTCGAAAAAATAGATTTCAAGTTTTGAAAATAGTGCATCTTGTAATACATTTTTTTATTGTCAAGTTTCCAAACTTTCAAGTTTTTCATAGATCTGGTCGATCTACACTATTTTTTAAGCTTGAAATTTTATAATTAAAGATAAAAGTATATTTTAGGGCTATCACAAAGATTTTCAGTATTGAAACCACATTTCTCGCACTATTTGAAGGTGCGCTCTACTTTGATTGTATAGAGCCTTGGCTCGATAAAAACCGCACCCTTTACGTATTCCATAATTCATACATCACACGAATAGTAGAGCATCGTGGAGAAATTAAATTAAATTAATTATCCATAAAATAGTACTTTGTGGACCCTAATTTTATTCATAAAAAATTTCTTACAATCCAACCCAATGTTATCTCTAACATGGAAAAAAACTAGAATTAATAGCTAATTATCTTAATTCACTATCCAAAATCATTTGGTCACACCTGGCACCTTCAATAGAAAATAAAATATATATATTTTTTTATTTTAAACTACTTTATTTCTCTAAATTATTTTTTGTTTTCAAAATAAAACATTATTAACTAAAGAGTGTCATTTCTAACCAAAGATATCCCAAATTACAAAACAAGAACTGTCCAAAAAATAGACAATCCATAGAAGTGTCATGTGCATTTCTACAAGTGTCGACCCCATATATCCATGTCCACCAAGATCGACATGTGATCAGGGTCTGATCGTCAGACCCTCTGACACGTCGCTGAAATCAACACACTCTTTGCTTTATCCCACCATCTTTATTCACCATCTTCTGATCATGATGGAAATTTGTTGATGGATTTCAAATTTTTAATTTTCTTTAATTCTTATTTATATTTATCATGTGCTTTTCAAAAACCAAGTCATCCTTGATTATGAGCATAAATATTTTCAGCAAAACCCATTATATATTTGTAAAAGTACTAAATTTAGTTTTCTTTTCATTGCTCTTCGAGTTTTCTTATTTTGCTTTTCTTGTATTGTTTCGATGACTTTAGGAAGTTCTCCTTCGGCAAACCAAAACTCTGAAAATCTGCTCCCATAACTCATTGAGGATTCTTTCTACGGTTTAATTGGGCTAATGGCTCGAACTTTATGGGGGCTTCTATTATGGGATTTGGGTGCTGGCTTAAGTAGTCTGAATGTCGACAATTGGAATATATAAAATTTTGGCTAAAGGAATTTTTTAAAACCTTTGATTTTGAATCCAAAGGACCTCAAACCTTCATGTAGGCCATAATCCATAGGTAACCTAAACCCAGTAGAATTATCCCTAATTTAAGCGACCCCACCTTTTTTTACTTTTTCATAAGATAATTCACTTTTGCAAAGATTAATGCCGATCTCACCTAGAGATTGGCACAGATCAAGCGTAGACACAATACTACATACCCTAAACTTTCATATTGTACAATAGTAATCGAGCTTCCATAGTTTAGATGATAGTTCACACCAGCATATTGAAATGAGAATGCTTGAGAGAGATCCCTGCCCAACCCCACAGCTTGGGTTTTACCTTCTAATTCAGAGCAGTGCACCCATCCATTAAAGAAAGGCACAGCATTCCCTTTATGCTCAAGAAAAGAAAGACACAACATTCCTTCTTATGATCATTGCAACATAGTCATGTTTAATCTAATTAACAATTTAGCATGAATAACAACAAAAGCCTTGTTTCGACAGCCCTATAACTCCAGTGAGGAAGATGATTATTTAGCAAGTAAATTTTTTGAGAGTTGCAAGCACTTTGGCAGCACCTTCTCATGAATGCGTCAAGAGAGTGCAACCGTGAATGGAAGATGGGACCAAGCTGCACTCCCATACCGCTCCTAAATGGCCAGAGTGAAAAAACAGTAATAATCTTTTGACATGGTCCGTCCAAACTGGGCCTGAAGTGTGTTTTCTCCATTCCAAGTAAACAAGTCAATGCCGTGGTCATTACCAAAGCAATGAGGCCTCACTCCAATAAGACTATTTTCTATACCATGCTTAGTTTACATTAAAATAACAGCAAACACAGCCCGACAGCCGGAACAATCTCCGTCCTTGCCAATTGAGAACATATCATATGTTAAAGCTTCATATATAATAAAATGCAAGTGAATCCTAGTCTCTACCATCAATCGATCTTAATTGATGATTAACCAAGGTTGAACAACCTTAATTAAACCTCAACCAAATTCATCAATATTCATCAACTTCGACTGGATGGTGGAGACCAATCTTCACCTGCAGTTTATATGTGAAGCCTTCATATACAATGAAACAACCATGGCCAGAGGACATCAAAGATCAAACTACCAGCTTCAACCTTCAGCAAGAATCTAAAACAAAACCAAAAATCAAACTAGGCTGGATGCCAGAACCGAAATAATAATGTAGTTCAATTTTTGAGCCCACAAATTAGTCATAATTTACATCATCACTGTACACGCTTCTGGTCTACATTCACCATGTCAAAGGACAAACAATTTCCTTTTTTTTTTCCTTTCTGAACAGTAGAGGACAGACATCCAATAGCAAACAAACTCAAAACTGAGAAAAACCTACAGTTAAATAATCTGAACAAGACCTTTTTTTCATGACCATCACGGCCACATTCTGGAACTGCCCATTAATGAGAAACATATTTGCATGGTGGTTTGAGATGCATTCCTAGACTGCCAAAAAAACACATTAAAAAAAAATATCAGTTAAGTAAACAGAACATTCAAAATTTTGGAAGAAAGAGCTTATCTAAAGTTTTCTTGAGACCAGGTATCACAAATATCACGAGAATTTAGAGACATAAACCATTTTCAAACATCTGATAAATTAAAGGGCTTTAAAAGACCAAGTTAAATAATACTGGGCTTCCAATAATTTTATAAAATTCCATGAGAATCAACCAGCTCAAACTGGCAAGTCAGGCTTTCAGGCCCGACCTTTCACTAGTTTGGCAGCCCATCAGATTTTGTAGCAAATGACACAAAGATTATCCTATTTTGACTGAATAATGACCTAAATTGAAGATTTTAGAGAAACTTCTCGAAATAAGAGAGAATTTCAGAGAAGTCATACATAAAAGGAAGAACCCTGATGCTTTTTCTTAGTAATTAAAAGCCCCTTTCACCCCCTCCAAGCTTTCTCCCATTGATAACCTGCAAACAAGTAACATTAGTTTCTAATTCAGGTATGAGTGTACAACTAAGAACATCAACTCATGAATATATTCCTAAAGTAAACACGCTCATCAGCAACTTAAATGTAACTTTAACAGTACAAGAAAAATTATTATTTTTGATAAAGCAGTTGCGGAATCAGATAGATAGAACCACTGCTCTAGGCAGGTATAGTGATGAAAAGACAGAATCCTTTACATGGTGTATACCGAGATTTTCTCTAAGACTTAATACACCAGGAAACCCTCTAAGACTTTAATACACCAAGAAAGAGGTTTGGCATGGAGCTAAATTTTGGACTGACATGAAACTTGAGAGAGAATAGGTTTAGAATGGGTTTTTAGCAAGTTTAAATTGAACAATGAATAAAAAAACAAACTCCAGCTACGAAAGAAGATTAAACTTTGTGCTTAAATCCTTGGTATTAACCCAAACCAAAGAATTTCCAACTTGCAATCTAAGAGAGGAATCAATTTACTTTTACTCTGAAAGTTGGAGTTGCCTTGCGAATAAAAACACACTGATGAATAAGAATGAATGAAGGAAAACTAAAGCTAATAATGTAATTCTAATTTTCTTAAAGGAAACATGGTGAGCATGTTGAGAGTTGAGACTACCATAGCTTGAATTAGAAGACACCAAAAATGGGCAATTTGCAACAAGATATCTCTAGTAAACTGAACAGGAGGCAACATACTCTTGTTGGTGTGAAAATTTAATATACAGATATGGATATGGACCATAGTTAAGGGAACCGCGAGGGTAGGGTGATGATCCTGCCTCGGAACCTCAATCCCACAATTCCTGTAAGTGAACTTGTAGGGACCCCAGTTTTTCGACTTTGGGATCTCGCTCTCAAAAAAAAGGGACTATGTTCCATCCAACAGTGGAATCCAGTTTCATTTCAAAATAGATCTCCGCTCCCCTCAACCATGGTCCTCGGCTTTGGTACATTAAAATCTTGGGTTCTATGTTTGTGGGATCTACTTTCATTAACGAATAATTCCAAGTTAGAGATTTCCATTATCCCAAGTTCCCATTATTTAGGAATCATAAGTTCCATGATGGTAAAATCCAATCCCTTTTTCGCATAGCACGAAGTTATATTATTTTAGATTCTTAATTTGATCTAGACATAGTCTAGAGTGACCCATTGTTACAGTGCAGATCGGGACGATCTCCGAATGGAGATCGCTTAGATCTAAACCACAAACTCATTTTTTTAAGAGTGATAGAGTGTGGGGACAATCAAATTCTGATCTGAGGCCAGATCTACTCAGAAGTGAGCAGATTTGCTCTCAGATCAGTGGCGAGCCAGCATTGATCCAAAAGCACGAAAGATTGAATAAAAAACGAATAAAATCATAAATCTAACAAAAATAACTGAAAAATGGGAGAAAAAGAGGATGAGGAAAATACCTAGCTGAGCCAGTTGGTGTCTACAAATGCCCCTCTTTGGCACTCCTTGTCCTCGAGGGACAGATGAGTGGCAAAGAAGTAGACACTGCAGACATTTTAAATTTCGTCCTAATGTTTCGTAGTCAGAGGGCACACCAACTATCCCTCCAAGACATTGCGCTCCCCGCTCACCCACCTAGGGCATTTTCATCTTAGGGTTTTCGGCGTGAGATGTTCTGGTGATTTACGCAAGCTTGGAACTCAAGTTCGATTTTCTAGCCATGCCACTTAATTTTAGGGGTTTTCATAATTTTAAATCTTTAAACCTGCCATTTTCCTTAATTTTCTTTAGGGTTTCCTAAGGTTTCAAAGGCTTTACCCAATGGGAAAATGTTTCTCGGTCAAATCTGAAAAGAGAGATGTGGCGGCGATGCAGTAATCATCATGTACGGGTGTCCAAGCTCCTTCATTTTGAAAGACATTTTAGAAATTTTGAAAATAGGGAGAGATTTGAGATAAAACCCATAACTTGGACAGGTCACGATTTTAACAAAGAAATTAAAGTTTTTTTTTTTTAAACACAAGACATATAATGAAATTTTGAAATGAGAAAGATATTTTGAAAAACAAATGTTTAGTTAGCAGCTTTTACTCCTGCAACCATATAGCCCTCTAAGTAGTTTAATGTCATGCAACGATGGACAGATACACCCGACCATTTACGTCATACGAGGCTAGACAGATACACCCGACCTTTTATGTCATACGGGGCTGGACATTTTCTGAATACACCCAATCTTTCACGTCATACGTTGTTAAACGGATACACTCGACTTTTTACATCATACTGGGCTAGATGTTTTTTTAATACACCCGACCTAACGTCATATGGGATTAGACGTACACCCAACCTTTTATGTCATACGGGGCTAGACATTTTGAACTGAAATGTGGCTGGCAGTTTAGACTCGTGCCACTAAGGACCATTTTCCAATGAGCATTTTTTTTTTGAATTTTTTGAATGAAAAATTTTTTCATTATTGGTTGGCAATTTAGGCTCATGCCACCGAGGAGCATTTTCTAAACCTTTGTTTTTTTTTTTTTAATGACGAGGTTTCTCATTTGAAATTGGTTAGCAGTTTAGGCTCGTGCCACCAAGGAGCATTTTTTTAAAAGAAAAGTTTTTAAAGGAAATTTTCAATATTTTTTTTTTATTATAAATGTGGGTCTTACAGTTTAACCTCTTGTGATCCCTTTGGTGGACCCTCATATGAGCTTGTCGGGTCCGTGCTGGGATCTTCGAGATGAAGAATCATCGAGTGTTCCTTTATCTTCCACCCTCAGCTCTTCGCCTTAAGATCATGTAGGAATTCGATCATCTTTCCCTTTGCCAAGTAGCATGGAGGCTCTAATATCAGTTATCCTTTGATTTCCCTTGCCCCAAGTTGGCATCCAAAGTCTCTTTGACGACGGTAGCTGAATTTCCGTTGAACTTTTCCTTTAAACTGTTCCACTCGAACTTTGATATTGGGACTAAGAATTAGTATCCTAATCCCTCAATCTTTTGGTTGGGAGGATCAGCTCATCAGGTTTTCCCCATTAATGGGATAATTTATGTTATTCATTAGGCGTTAATGCCTTTTGAAGTATGAGGCGTGAATGCCCCATTTGGTTATTGCAAGGGGTGAGTGATCACTCCACTCCTTTTCGATTATCTTTTTCATTAAAGATTTTGTGTTGCTCTTCGGAGGTTAACTCCGTATTAGACTCCTTCTCAGTACTTGAGTTCGGGTGAGACTCTCACACAAGAAGAGTGATTGAATTAAGACTTGATGGCCTTATGGCATGTTGGGAGTTAACAATAAAGGCTCAATTTCATCAACTGCCCTTGTTATGTTTCCAATATCAAATATGGGTGCCCCCATTGAGTGATTTGATGGAACTGCATCTGCAGAGTCTTCTGAATCAACAATGATTTGTTCATCATTAAATGAGGTCTCTTGATCTTGGGGTGCCCCAGTATTCGAGATTGTGCTCATGTTGTTAACGACTTCTAGAGAGCCTGCATCTTGAGGAAGTAACATGGTTGGATTTTCAATATCCAGCTCTTCATCCCAGATTGGTGGATCATTCAAGAAATCTTGCGAAGGTGGTTCGAGAGGTCCCCTTAGAATTTTTAAGTCATCTTTCCTTAGTGCTTCTGGTTCTCGAAGTGATAAGTTTTCTTCAAAAATTTGTTATGTTATTTACTCTTGAATAACCATCCTCGAACTACCCTTGTCTCCATGATTCCAAGAATCACTAGTTTTGGAGCCTTGACCAAGCTTATGCTCAGGTTCATCTCAGATCCCTTGTGAGTTTAATTCACCATCCCACATGTGTGGGTCATCTTCTATCACATTCCTTTGGAATGACAAGTTACAAGGATTGTCAATGGGAGTGAATTCCCTTGGTGTGGAAGTTTGCATCCTCCATATGGTAGAGTAAGTTTTAGACTCTTCTCGTGGCTGGTGTCGTTTTTCTCGATCAAGTTCACCTCTCCTTCTTGAGAGGGTTCTTCAGCAATCGAGTCCTCATTCCCTTCTCCTTCTTGTAGAGGGTCAATTATCATTAGGTTATGAAAGACTCTGGCTTCATCATCCATGGCTCGCTCATGTCACAATACTCTTTCAAACATAACATCAAACAAGTAGGGGATCACCCCATTGCTGAAGAAAGTGACATATTCTGAAGTCATGTTCTCTAATGCCATGCCTACCTTCACAGATTCAACAAGTGGAGTTTCAGTGACTCGCATAGCGGCCTCTTTGAATCTTGTTATAAAGTCCAAAGGAGATGCACTCGATTTTTGTTTGCACCAAGGGTGACAGATCTTGGCCCTGCCCCACAATAGCAGGAGGAAAACTGCCTGAACATTTCGTCAGGAGTTGCTTGAGGGTTATCCTTCATGAATTTCCGGTGAAGCATCAGGGGCTCTCCTAATAAGCTATGCGAGAACATGACCTTAAGTTGGTTGGGTAGGTCTCGCAGTGTATGGGCTATTAACAAATAGGCGTTGATGTGTACCCCAGAAAATTTGTTTTTGAATTGTGGCATCACAAAACCTACTGGTAAATCTTCTAAGTGTCCTAGAGTTTCTTGTACATAGGCTTTAGGAGCTGTAAAATCTCTTATTCCCATTCTCTCTAAATAGTCTTGAAGGCGTTCCATGTTGGTGAATTGGGCCGTTGGTATAACGGTGGCCTGACTTGGTTGTATGGCCTATTGGACATGGATTTGCGGTGTGTGGCATGTATAAACTGGCTACTGGGCCCATGTAGCAGGTTGCTCAAGGATTGAGCCTGGGGAGTGTGTTGAACTTTGTGTCCTGCTTGTCGATCTATAGACTCAACCGAGTTGAATTGGCCAAAGTTGACCCGTCGTTCAAAGTTTGCACTACATGGCTACGCAAGAAGGCCTGCAGGAAAGGATCACCATTTGATTGGAATGAACGACTCAAGCTGCTATGATGACTAGACCTCTGACCTTGGGCAGTGAGGTCTGCCTGTCCTTGACCTTGACTGGATGATCTAACCCTAGGG